ACGTCAATCATTTTTGTACGCAAGAAAGAAGAGGGATTAGGAGATGAGCAGTGACAATGCCAGAAACTAAACTTTGAAACACAAACATTTCTCCTGGTCTAAAGCATAATGTTCCAACTTCTTCTCGAGGTGTGAATTGGAAATCAACACTTAATTGAGTATTAGTAACGTTTCCCTAAAAATTTTAATGCGATATTTGAATTGAATTTGTCTAAAAATTTGTTAGTCTCATTTCTTGTATAGGCTAACTTCCCAGAATGCTTGGAAATGATAAATAATGATAAAATGTCAACATCTTGAAAACGCTAATCATTTTTGTACGCGAGAAAAAAGAGGGATTAGGAGATGAGCAGTGACAATAGCCAGAAACTAAACTTTGAAACACAAATGGTTCATGAGGACATAGCGCACACAACCCTCGAATTTTCATGCACAGCAATTAATCAACCTAATTTAAATAATAAATCAAATGTTACATATAACTATCGTAGGGCAAACTTTGATGAACTTAACCAATATTTGACATCAATAAATTGGAACTCTGAACTGCGACATGGCAGCATTGAACGTCTCTTGAATGTTTTTTATTTTCATTTGAGGTACGCAATTGAAAAACATGTACCTAAATTCAAAGAACGACCCGGGGGATACCCAGTGTGGTTTACACCTAGCACTATAAGGGTTCTCAGTGAGAAGAAAAAGGCCCACAGGAGGTGGAAGCGGTATGGGAACCGGATCGATTATTTGTCTTTCTCATTGTTGAGGGGTCGCGCTAAACATCTTATTAATACCGATTATAATAACTACATTCAACGTACAGAATCAAATATTACAAGTAATCCTAAGCACTTCTGGTCTTTCCTTAGGCGTAGGAGGGGTGCAAGTGGTGTTCCAGCGGTGATGACATTGGGTNATCTCGGCGGACTTCGAAGACGCCCGCCGCAACAAGTATTGTTCGTGATACTTTGGGCGGCCGATGTTTTCGAAGTCGGCCAAGATTAGTTCTTCCATAAATTTCAATCAGGGTAGATTTACTGTGTTGTCGTGATTTTTGGGGCGGCCGACGTCTTTGAAGTCGGCCGAGATTACTTCTTATATCGCGAACAATACTTAGGTTGGTCGAGATTATTTCTTCCATACATTTCAAGTATGGTAGACTTGGTTATGCATAATATGCTATCTATTAGAAGTATTCTTCATGATATAAGAGTTAATCTCGGCCGACTTCAAAGACGTCGGCCGAGATTACTTTTTCCTTAAATTTCAAGCATGGTAGACTTATTGTACTGTACATGATCCTTGGAGCGGCCGACGTCTTCGAAGTCGGTCAAGATTAGTTCTTCCATAAATTTCAATCAGGGTAGACTTATTATGTTGTCGTGATTTTTGGGGCGGCCGATGTCTTCGAAGTCGGCCGAGATTATTTCTCTTGGCCTGATTGAAATTTATGGAAGAAATAATCTCGGCCGACTTTGCAGACGTCGGCCGCCACAAGTATTATGAACAATATTTAGGGTGGCCGACATCTTCGAAGTCGGCCGAGATTATTTCATCCATAAATTTCAAGTATGGTAAACTTATTGTACTGTTCATGATTTTTGGGGCGGCCGACGTCTTTGAAGTCGGCCAAGATTACTTCTTATATCGCGAACAATACTTATGTTGGTCGAGATTATTTCTTCCATACAATTCAAGTATGGTAGACTTGGTTATGCATAATATGCTATCTATAAGAAGTATTCTTCATGATATAAGAGTTAATCTCGGCCGACTTCGAAGACGTCGGCCGCAACAAGTATTGTTCGTGATACTTCGGGCGGCCGATGTTCAGGGTAGAACATCGAATCGGGGTAGACTTATTGTGTTGTCGTGATTTTTGGGGCGGCCGACGTCTTCGAAGTCGGCCGAGATTATTTCTCTTGGCCTGATTGGAATTTATGGAAGAAATAATCTCGGCCGACTTCGCAGACTTATTGTACTGTTCATGATTTTTGGGGCGGCCGACGTCTTCGAAGTCGGCCGAGATAATTTCTTAAATCGCGAACACTGCTTAGGTTGGTCGAGATTATTTCTTGATTCTGTGATCTGGCAGTTTCTTAATTGTCCATAATTAGGCGAATTCCCAGCATAAATCTGGAACGTCCTGATTGGCTTTTCTAGTACATGTGCATAAGTCGATGCGAATTCCCTTTTGGGTCACCCAGTCCAAACTGTTAATAATCTCTCCTAATAAAAAGTGCTAGATAGAATAATCTTTTAGTTTCTGCCTAACGTTTGGCAAAGATTACACTGGTTAGGATAACGTAATCCATTACGTGATAGGTCATGGTTCTTATCCAGTTTGTCGTTTTTTCTTGTTCTTTTAAGAAGCTGGATTTATTACAAAACTTTTTGCAAATCGAAGAGAAATCGCAATCAAATATAAATTCGTCACGAATCGAAACGGAAACTTTTATAATTATACTTAAAAGATACTTTTTATTATTAAAAAAATGAAATTGTGGTGTAAAATAAAAAAGTTGTAAACACTCAAAAAAATCTTACTTCCATATTTAACTCCTATTGTCTTTTTAAGATACTCTTCATAATTTAATTTTAAGCTATTAATGTCGCCATCGTTATAATCTAATGATACATTCAGTTTTTTGATATTTTCAATTACGGTACTCATCAAAAGATAGCAGGCCTTTTGTCCGCCTACTTCTTCAAAATCATTGCGTTCGTACATTAAAGCGAAAGATCTCCATCCATATCTAATATCGAAATGTTTCGAATTATTTATAAACTTAATTTAATTTTTACTTACTCTAGAACTAAACTAACGATAAATTGTGTTATTGAAACGTAATCTAAGGCTCCAGAATTAGCCATTAAATAATATTCGTCTGCACAAGTACTTTTGTCGGCGGTGAATTCAAATACAAAACCTCCTGGTGTTATTAATGGGGTACCATACGGTTTTAAATATTTTACTATTCGACCAACACTAGCTAGAAAAAATTAATATAAATATATTAAGAAATTATTATAAATCGATTACGATATGTTAACGCAATGAAAAGGTCGTATAGATAAAAATAAGTTCTATTTCTATAGTCAGGTCCATTGATAGCGATTATGAAAAAAAAATAATAATGTGGAATTTTAAGAGCTTATCATGTTCTAATAATAGAAAGATCTGTATCTGTAAGATAATGTCGCGGTCGGTCGCGCTATTGGAAATCGTTGAAAACAAATAGAATGCTTTACAAAAATAAAGTTATTTTTTATTGTTAATTTTTAAGTTTTTTATTGAATAAATACGATAACGAATCGTTTTAGGCTTTTAGTGCATTGTTCTGTAAATATTTAATTTTTGCGGGAGTAAACCATATCGAGTGGCGTTCAATTGGGCGGCTTATTGACAAAATCGACTCTCGGTTTCTGGCAATTAATATATTTTTCATTGTTTCCCATATAATAGGCCGTGCGACCGATAAGATTGAGTAACAGATTATTACCCACGAACTGATAGCTTTTGCAAACGCAATTAAATCACTGCGCTATAGTATCATTTTTTATCTCTATTTTTAGACCTCACGTTTTTCCCTTACCTGAGCAATAGTCGCAAATCGGACCAACTATCAAGTGGTTACAACCCCCTTTTAAACTCGCCAGCGTTGCATATTCTGCTTGACATTTATCATCAAACGCTTCAAACGCAAAATTTACATATTCAGGCAACACTCCCAACGTCTTGATGTCATCAGCAGCTTGTTTTAGCTGATTCATACCCTGAAAATCAAATGTTTATTTATTTATTAATTTACAACGTTAGGAAAAGTAATAAAATTATACTATTTTTAATTCCGATATAAAGGAATCATTCTAATTCAAGATTTAAATTTGACTTAAAATAAAAAGTAGAAATAAAAATACTTACAGCTTCTAAATTAACAATATACAATGTATTATTGGGTAAAACAACAGAAACATTAACAGTACAATTATCTTTATCACAAAAAAGGGCGCACTCTGCATTGTCATCATCTAAACAACTTTCATCCGGAAGAGGTTCGCAGTCTTCGGAAGCCGCGAGAGTGCCGGCGAAATAAAAGATGAAAAGAATGACGTTTATAAATTTAAAATGCATTACGTCGTTATGTGGGGTTTATGGATGTGTTCTTTCTGCGTTCGCGCGTTATTTTCGGACGTCGTTCCCGTTAGCGATGCCGCCGACGTCCTGAAAGATTTGCGAGAGACGACGACGGATGCCTACGAAGAATATTACAAATCGTCCCGACGACCGTACGACACTGGTCTGATTTTGTGTATGATACACGATTGTATTGATAGCGAACGAATAGCGCAGATATTGTGTAGATAATTCAATGTATTACTAAGAGGAGGGGTTCGAATCAGTTTGATTTTATATCAATTATTGCATTATTTTTGATTTTCAATTATTTAACAAATTCTATAAAGATAATAATACACTTGAAGTACACCAGGATGTTTTATTTGTTTATTAAAAATTGGAATTTATTTTGATCAAATTAAATTAAATTTAATTATTCGATTGAGTTGATGTCTCAATTAATTTTAACCAAAAAAAAAATTCTATTAGATTTTATTTTATTGAAAGCTTTTGAGATACAATCGTCAAACAGAAAATCCATTACGTTAATCGAAAAGGGCCTGGTGATTTGAAAGCTGTCAAAAGCCCTCCGCTTAATTTCAGCGAACAAATGACCGGACGCTATTCGAAATGCTAGGACTTAATTAAAACCACCGCTGTACGGTCCTCATTAATTACCGTTTTGCTGTTAAATACTAGGATAATTAAACCATATGTTTAATATTTACCTTATTTTTTTTACTAATTAACGGTAGATTTTCTACAAAATGTTGTAAAAAAATGAAGCGCAAAAATAATTTAATTAAAATATATCGCTCTATTATTGTTGGGTATCGTAGAGAGATAGAGGATTAGTTGGGTAAATAATTAATAATAAATAAAATTGAATATCCTGGATATTATTTTGCAATAAACCCAGCAGATGGTTATTGCAATATCGTCGTTTATTAAATTCATTTTGCGCAATTCGAATATACAACCCACAAGTTATACAACCATTCTAACTTTGTCGGCAATTTCACATTTAATGACCCAAATTTAATATCAACACTTTTTCTTTAATATTCATTTAATAGATAAGGAGAAATACCGTTTCCATTTTTAATGTTTTTTTCGATTATATTTGACCGATCAATTATTAAAAAAAAATTGATTAAAAAATTATAGCCGAATCTTCCCAAATGTTACAGGAGGCGTATTTTTAAAACAAAGAACCGGTTAAAAAACCAGCGAAAAAATTCCCGTCTTCTTTTTCATATCTAATAAAATATTTTCTCTTTAAAGGAATGCAATGTGCCATAGTTTGCTTGTACTAACCCCCCACGGTCTTCAGGAGACATTCTCAATCCCCTCCAAAAACAGGACCGTAATATAATAATCTTATAAAATATACTAATATATAACAAGTTTCATAATAATTTATTATTATAATGGTTTTGCCCAACACTTCTAAAATGCGTACACAAGATTAATAAACTGAAAGATCAAATACTGAAAGTAACTTACTCTAAGCTAAAGAAAAAAGTTCATGACTCGGGTCTGATCTTATAACTAAGAAGTTATTTAGACAACTTAGCTAAGAAGTGCAGAATCGGTAATATATGGAACAATGGCACAATCCCTAAACCACTTTTTTCCTGCAGAGACAGTTGGATAACTGCATTAAATTGAACATAACCTTTTTTCAAGCAGAAGTTCTTCCTAAAATTTCTGCACCCTTTTGAACCTAGAAAAAGAACAAAAAGGTGCATCCATAAACATTTCCACAGACAGTTGGGCCACCCTCAAGGCAATTCAAAAATTAAGGTGCCATAATTCATAATAATCTTTATTATGTTACACATACAATACAATATAATTTGAAAGTAATAAATTTTGTACTTTTACTGGTTAAAAACTATTTATTCATTAGAATATATATATATTTTTTTTTATTATTAGCTGCAGTCTATTAATAAATAGACTGCAGCCTTGAAGATGATCGAATAGATCGAAACATGTCAGCTTCTAATTAATAAATAGTTTTTAACCAGTAAAAGTACAAAATTTATTACTTTCAAATTATACAATGGTTACAATGGATCCAACAAATAATTTCTTTCAATACAATACAATATGTTCACACTTATCAAATTTTACAATTATTATGTAGTGTCATATTAAAGAAAAAAATAACATATAAAATTACATAAGATTACAATAGACAACATTAAGTGCTAAAGGTGGAAATCATCTCAAGACTGTCACTCATATATTCGGAGGTCGAGTAGTACGCCCTTGTAACAAGAGTTTGTTTAATATACTCTTTAAAGCCATTCAATGGCAACGGACGGATGTGTAATGGCAATTTATTAAAAAATTTCAACGCCAACGCGTTCACACTTTTTTGGCATTTTGTTAATCGGGTATATTTGGGCATCAGATCGCTATTTTTGCTAGTATCATAGTTATGCACCTGCTTATACGTGTCAAACTTAATAATGTTCTTTTTAACATACGTAACACATTCGTGAATGTAGAGTTAATATTTGTAAATCAATATAGGAGCTTCTACAGTCGTCTCTATAATTTAAATTTCTTAATACCCGTATAGCCCTTCTCTGCATTCTAAATACGCGTTCAAAACCAGCAGCAGAGCCCCAGACTAACAATGCATAAGTCTGGTGGAAATACATTTGAACGCAAGTTGATAGATGCTGCCACTTAATTTAGTACATAATGTCAAAATATGTTCCTCCCAGCACAGCCCGGAATCAAGATAAACGCCCAAAAACTTTACAGCAGAAAGAGACTGTATGTTAGAGCGTCTCAATGTAAACGCATCTTCATAACCTTTGTGATTGATAAATAGGGTTGTGTCAAAGAGGGCCCAATATTGATCCTTGCGGTACACCTATCGAAATACCCATTCTCTTAGAAAATAAATTATTACACTTAACTATTTGTGACCTATTTGTTAAGTATGATTTAATCAATCTAATACTGTTATTGTCAAAATTATATTTTTCCAACTTATAGAGCAAAAAGGTCATGCTGCACACAAGCGAATGCCTTACTGAGGTTACAGAAAGCACCTAGCATGTAGTGTCCATCCTCATAGGATTGCATAACATTTTCTACAAAATCAACAATTGCACCAACAGTGCAATATCCAGCTATTGTTTTAATACGCCTGATAGTAAAAATCGCAACAGCTAGATATTCAGTTTAGATTTGGCATTATGTAAATCCCTAGGAATTGTATTGGTTCTTGCTCCCGTCCGTCAGGTTTTGTCGTTTGCATCTTGTCAATATTTGGCTTCAGGCTATATTGTATATTTATAATATATTTTCTGCGCATGCGTTTTATTAATAATTAGTATAAAAGTGTTATTGCGCAAGCGCAGAATAAATTTTGAAATATGTCAAATTTGGTAATAAATTTTTGAAAAAGTAAAAAATTTGATTCCGTTCCTGTATAGAAAGAGCAAACCAGTCGGCACAAGCAGCCGAAGAACACGACTGGGTACGCCAAGATCTCTTGGTAGAGGAGAAGAAAAACGAAGAGACAGAGAGAGACCAACGGCGACCACGAGAAGTCGCCAGTTACTCGGGTAAAGTAACAAAGCGATGCGTTTGATTTGTGCGGTGGTAAAAGCGGGCTGAAACGTGCTGAAACGAAAGGTTTCGTCGGCGTGGAAAAACCACCAACCATGGAAAACGAACGGATAACTACCTAAAACAGGTGAGAATTTTAACAACGGTGAAAATCTCTTTGATCTCTCTTCGATTGAGAAAAAAACCTTCGTCCCTTTGAGGTTATGATCCGTCAAAATGTCGTCGACCTTCTCCGTGCGGATTCTTCTCGGCATTTTTGAGATGATTTCCCGCTGACCACTCTGTCTAAAGAATAAGTTTTCGACGTTGCCCTAAGGGGCCCCTTCAAAGAGCCCCTATTAGGTTCTTCGGTCAAAGCAACGTCGATGACGTTGAAAAAAACTTTGAAACGGAACGGGGGGCAAATAACCAAGCCTTTGTCATGTGACTTCTTTGGAATGTCATATCCGACACAGTCTAAAATCTCTCTAAACCGAGTTTTGGTTGACGCCGCCGAATACCGCAAACGTAAAAGGGGCCCCTTACGTAACCCCCTCGCGGTCTGTTTGACGGTGGGTAAGTCACCTATTGCGCTAAATAGTGTCACTTTCGACCATATTGTCTTGTTTTTAATCCGAGCGCCAGCAAATCTGTGACCTTATTTTGTAATTTTCTTATTGTGAAAGTGATTTATTAAAATTTATATCCTGAACTTATGTTTTCTAATTTCTCATTCTTTAAGTCATCCTATATTTATTAAATCGTTTTTAAATAACGTTTCATTTAAGACATATAAAAACTCCAACAAACGTTATCTTTAAAATGTCATTTGTTATAAAAGATTTTATTGCATTTTTTCACATCGTAACATTAAAGTTTGTTCCTAAAATAAAATTCAGCACGGTAGGCAAGTCGTCATATCCGTCAACCAATATATTAAATTATAGTATTTATTTTAATTTCTTAATATTCTTGTTATTTAACTAACGGATATTGGTGACATTCCTATACTAAAAGATGTTCATTACATCCTCGCAATTTTTTCTGCTAAATCTTTATCTAATAGCTTAATCATCTTTATAACGCTTTTAAACTACTGTGTTTATAGGCCTAGACATATATATTATGGTATTCTTTGTGGTTAAAAAAATCTTCGTAATAATATTGGTAATGTGTTTGTACCACTTTCATTGTGTTATATAAGTTTTTTATTTCTTTACATTTACTTTGTATTCAATAACATTTTTATATCAATATTATCAAAACAAAACTATACATATTACGTATATCAAATAAATTGAAAAATTCAGTGGAATATCTTTGTTTTAATTTTAGCCAAAGTCACTTGCGATCGAGGTGCTTCAATGTGTTGATCAGCTTTGGTTGACATGATATTAAATGTAAAGCCTCGCCCGCAAGCGACCTTGAGTTAAGTAGGCGAAATCATAGATTAATTTAATTTGATTAAATAACACTTTTCTATATCACAAATAAACTCCATCAACTCCTGTTGTTAAAATAATATAATATTACTTTGAAGTAACTTAAGCAAAGCTCATGTTATAATGTCGTGTAATTTGTCAAATCATTTTCTCCAGAAATATAGAAGTCGATGAAATGATTGACACGGTGTTCACGTTCTTTAGAGTTTCTCGTAAAAACTAGAATCAATTGAATATTAAGCTATGGGGTCTTCGTACTTTCAGCGCCATCTCTCGGCAAAAATATAAATTCAACTTGTTAAATTAAAATATTTTTTTTTAGATGAAGCAAAGCAATGAACCAAACACCAAGTCTCCTGGAGAGGTTGTCACCACGTCCAATGGTATGTCCTTTAATTCGTTTAGGTAGAAATTCTCCTCCCCCGCCGACAGAACAATCATCACAACAATCTGATCGACCGTTTCACGCGTCGTACATGAGCTACTATGAGAGCGCGAGTCCGAATCGTACCTACTTGGATAGTGAGTACCCGCAAAATTACCGAGCCGCGCCTCATCAACAACTTCCGGGGAAGTATCCGAAGGCGGCGAATCTTGATCTGTCGTTGTTATCTCTCGGAGCGAGCTATTGGGAACACGAAAACTATTCGAAGTTGGAAACAAGCCAGTCAGACTCGAATTCAAGTCCGGAATATCAGCAAGAAACGAATTATTTGTTGGATAATTTTGCGAAACTTGGTAAAAGCAGCCCTAGTCTGGACCAGGGTTATCACACTTTGGTTTCGCCGAGTCCGGGGTTGTCCACACCCGGACATTGGAAAGTTAAGAAACTTCAAGCAAAAAATAATTCGTTCGATCGACTACCAGATGATCTTATCGTCCGGGTGTTTTCTTTCTTAACCAGTTCAGATCTTAGCGTTTGTGCTAGAGTCTGTCGTCGATTTGACGCATTGGTTTGGACGCCAACGTTATGGCGCACCATTTTATTAGAAGGCGAAACCATCAGTGGCGATCGTGCAATTCGCGGGGTACTTCGACAATTATGCGGACAAGGAAGAACGGGAGCTTGCCCCAGCATCGAAAAAGTTTATTTAGCTAACGGTGCCAAAATCACCGATAGAGGATTATCATTATTAGCAAAACGTTGTCCCGAATTAACTCATTTAAAAATACAAGGAAGCACCAGCGTTACAAACGGAGTATTCTTTGAAATTCTTGCCAGATGTACGAATTTACAACATTTAGATATTACCGGTAAGAAAATTACAAGTACTTTTTTAAGTCTAACACCCACATATTATTTAAATGGCGTAGGTGTTAGACGTCCAGAAGCAACCGAGTGGGTGCTCATTTTTGGGTTAAGCTTTGTGTGGCATTAAAATACAAAGATATGATTTCCTTGAATTAGCACAAATATATTATTATTATGCTAATTATGACCTTTACACCTACCTTTATAATTATTTTAGGATGTGTTCAAATTACTTGTGCCAATCCGAGTCCGTCATCCGAACCACTCAGAAGACTGCAATTGCAATATTTAGATTTAACGGATTGTCCGGCACTTTATGATAACGGACTTCGTGTTATAGTTAGGAATTGTCCACAATTATCTTATTTATATTTAAGAAGGTGCATACAAATAACAGGTAATTTTATTTGTTTAATAATATCCTTTAAGCGTATATATTTTTATTTTATTTTAGATGCGGGTTTAAAATTTGTGCCAAGTTTCTGTTCTGGTTTACGCGAATTAAGCGTAAGCGATTGTTCAAACATAACCGATTTCGGTTTATACGAATTGGCTAAATTAGGAGCAACACTTCGATATCTTTCGGTAGCGAAATGTGACCGAGTAAGCGACGCCGGATTGAAAGTGATCGCAAGACGTTGCTACAAATTACGTTATTTAAACGTGAGGGGTTGCGAGGCGGTTTCGGACGATGCCATAACAGTGTTGGCGCGATCTTGTACGCGATTGCGAGCGCTCGACATTGGAAAGTGTGATGTAAGCGATGCTGGACTGAGAGCGTTGGCTGAAAGTTGTCCTAATTTGAAAAAGCTTAGTTTGAGAAATTGCGATTTGGTCACGGACCGTGGAGTGCAGTGTGTCGCGTATTATTGTCGAGGTTTACAACAACTTAATATACAAGACTGTCAGATTTCGTTGGAAGGATATCGGGCTGTTAAAAAATATTGTAAAAGATGTGTTATTGAACATACAAATCCCGGGTTTTTTTAACAACTCGATGTGTATGTAAAAAATATTAATCGTGACCTATATTTTTTTATATATATATTCTACATAATCCTTTTAATTGTAATATAACCGAATTTTTGAGCCTATTGTTTTTTTATAGGCTGAGGATTTATCTATTACAGGTTTTATATCGCGTATATTATTTGTAATTTATAAAAAGAAAGGAATTGTTAAGTATTTATTTTTTTTGTATATTTGTATATGACAGATATTTTTTTCTTCCTATTAAAAATCTTATAAATTTGTTAATTGGCGTTTTACTTGATGGAGGGGGAAAATAAAATTACAAATTGCTGTGTCGAAACACTTATTATTACAATGAGGTGACGTACATTAATTTTCTTTTTTTTTAATATTATCTTCTGATTTAAAATAGACCAGAAGGTGTATCTAACTTTACGCAGCACATCCAAACAATAATAATAAATTCAAAAATACACTAAAAATTTAACATGTTATATATAAATATTAAAACGGTATTAGCTAATAAGATAAATTATTAAACAAAAACTTTTTTTTTAAAACAGCGTAATTTTTTCCTCAAAACAACCATAAGCAAATATTTATTATTAAAATGATGAAAGAAACAAACGTTGCTTATGACTATTTTCAAGATAACTTTTTGTTTATGCAGTAAGCTACTTGCGGATGAATTTTGGTCGTTACAAAAAACTTGTGAAAGAAAAGTTATTTTAAATATGCTAATTATCCGCGCGGTTGGAAGAATTACTTTGGTACCATAGCTTCTTCTCAGGTTTTCTCATTATAACCAACACATCTTTACCAGAAACCTGAAGATTTACCACCAGGTGGATTTCTTACTTTAATACATGATTTTCGTTCAACGTCAAGTTCTTCTATTAAAATAAAAAATTCTTAATGTTATTAACACTAAATATTGATTTTATTTTTAACGTACCACTAACAGAAAATGTTGATTCTTGTATATTACGTTGCCCTTCTGGTCTTGCACCTTTACAACAAGGTGTGGAAACAGCGGAATTTGGTAATGTCGGGGTAACGCATCCCTTAGGTTCCATTTCAATACGATGTAATTTATTAGCAAGTTCGACTTCGTTAACACCATTAGATTCTTTGCCGGGTTTTAAATCGAGTACTTTCTCTGGGTTGTAAATAAATGGTGGGTAAAGTGGTGTTTCGATGAAATGCCCGTACCCTTGTACGGCACGGAGTTGTTCTTCATCAACACAAACTCTCCCATTTACAATAACATATTCGGGAACGCCGTGACATTCCATGCCTTCGAATACATTGAAGTCGACTGCTTGATGGTGTGTTTTTGCAGATATCACCCTGGTTTTTGATGGGTTCCAAATGACGATATCTGCGTCAGATCCGATTGCGATACAACCTTTCCTCGGGTATAAATTGAAAATTTTTGCCGCGTTGGAACTGGTTATTGCGACGAATCTGGTGGGGTCGATTAATCCCGAATGAACACCTTTCTCCCAAATCACAGACATTCTATCCTCAACTCCGTTAACTCCGTTCGGAATTTTCGAAAAATTTTCTTTCCCCATTTCTTTCTGGGACTTATTAAAAGTGCAATTATCGCTTGCAGTTAATTGAAGAACATCCCTGTTTTAAAAATAACAAATACGTTAAATAATAACGAAATCGTTCAATTGTATAAAACCAGAGTATTGTTAAAATTTGTTAATGTGTTAAAAGGACTTACGATCTTAGATACCCGAGGAGTTGATTCGGGGTATCGTTGTCAGATCGTATCGGAGGCGTGGTAACGATCCTCGAATTATGGGCATCACCACTAAGCGCAAAATTTGAAACGAAAACTGTCCCAAAAACAACTTGCCCAGACGATTGCTTTTCTTTAATCACCTCTGCAGTAGCACCGTTTGATACCGTATCGATGCATAAAGCCGTTGTCACCTGAATGTTTCAATGTTATTTAAGCCACAACAACAAAAAGCAACCCAAACCCACCACACAAAAAAAAAAACAGATTTTAGCAGTGTTAAAAAATTAAATTAAGCCAATTACACAGCAAATTTTTTTAAATTTTATTTCATACAAGAAAAAAACTATGATTTAAGAAAACAACTTACTGCGAAAGAAAATTTAAGAGAAATTGTGGAGTGTTAGGGTCAGGTCTTAAAGGAGGACTTAAGACATGTCCCGCTGAGTGCCAGAAGCATTGGTGTCGATATTGAGAACCGTCACATGCTAGTGCACAAACCAAAGTTTCGCCAATTATATTCGTGCCCTTCTCGCGATATTGTTTTAATGTTGTTGCAGCCGATTTACTCATTACGTGCACTATGTATAAAGGACTATTTACCTATAAGGATGTTGAAAAATCAAAAATAATAAGCAAACAAAATAGAACTAAGTAAACAGATGAAAAGTTAATGATATAAGCGAATTTATTTATCAAAAATATATTCATTTTAGTAAATAAACGAAGTTTATATTGTATTTTAAAATATCTTTTAGCTTTTTCGCAGAGACAGTTTCCGCCGGAAATACGAACTCCGAAACGATTCCTTTTGCGGTATTAAAAAATCAGATTATGCGTACTCGATCGAAAAATCAACCAATAGGATTCGCTTTTACCCTTACATTTTATTATCAAAACTAGTTTTCCTACCACCGCTATCGAAAGGTGGCCACTTGTCTGCAAGCTACCGAATGGTGAACTGCTTTTTTAAAGTTGTCTTAAACGTAAATAAAAAAGTTAAATCATGTGGAATTTGGTCGAATTGGAAGAATATGAAGTCCCTTACCCGGATATTAAAATCGTAAGCAAAAAATTTCTTTCTTTCTCAAATCATTTCATTTTTTTTTTTATTTTAAAGTTTCCAGAACCGTATAATGTTAATAAATACAAAATCTCGCTGAATGATACCGCCTATAAAATTGAACGAAAAACAAGTTACGCGATTTTCGAAATATTAGTACAACTGCAGCGACCATGCAAATTCTTTTTCCTTCGCCTTTACCACATGTTAGCCGATTGTATCGATTTAAAATTGATGCCCGATGACGTCATGTTGATCCTCTTATTCCTCCGTGCGAAAACTCCTGATTTAAAAATTGATGTTAGAAGTAACACGACCGATAGTTGTGTTATTATTCTCGAAGATATAGAGAACCAAAAATCAATTGACACCCGCTTAAAACGACTGACCATTGCATAATAAGAATCACGAAAGTATGGAATATTTTCAATATTTCCGAGTAACTATCGTTTTATTTAAATTAACCTCAAATTTCGCGTTTTAAAGATATTTTGTAAAAATTGTTTATTTCAAAGAGAAAAAAAATGATTGCCTTATAGTATTAGCTAGATAAATATTTGTATCCGTTTTTTGTAAAAATTAAAAAAAATTATTTTGTAAACATCGTTTATTTACTTAACCCCCACCCCAAAAATAGAAATATTTTAATGAAAATAAACTAAAAATAAATTAATAGAAAAAAAAATACCTGTTGGGCAATTGTACAAGCTCTATTAACAGCTTCAGCTTCGACTTCTTCAGGTCTCGACATTTCGTGCCCTTCAGGACCGGTGATTCCCTTATTTAACAATCGTTCCACATTTTTCTTAATAATATGGCCATTTTCTGCGTGGACCATGGGAACAGCACCGATATTTTTGCAATGTTCAAAGACGGAGTAAAGATCACCATCGTTCATCATCATATCATAAGCCATAAACATTTTGAAGGAGTTGACTCCGTGCTGATGGCACAACGTGTTCATCTCTTCCTTGATGATATTATTCCAGCTGGTTACGATTACGTGCAGGGCGTAATCACAACATACTTTGCTATCAGCTTTCTGACGATAATTTGCGTATGCATCCAAAAGGGATTCACCATTTTTTGGCATTACAAAATCAACTAAAAAGTAAAAAAATAAAAATATAGAGAAAATATATCTCGATTATTGATGGAAATATGATAAAATGTTATTAAAGGAAAGTTGTTCCATACTTAATATCCTATATGTGTTAGACACAATGATTAAATCGATTTTGAAGACGTTGGCCGCTCTAAGTCGAAGCCCAAAGTATTGTTTATGGTAGTTTGGGCGGCCGACGTCTTCGAAGTCGGCCGAGATTATTTTTTATATCATAACAATGCTTGGGGCAGGCGTGGGGTGTCATAAATAATTTCTTATTTTAAAAATCTCGGCCGACTTCGAAGACGTCGGCCGCCCTAAGTACACTGTGTACGGGATTTGAGTATTGCAATATCAATACTGTGATATTGGTTGCATACTTGCAATGATGACGTCGGGTACGATAATTAATTAACACACTGTATTGTATGTGATACCCAAGTATAAGGAACAATACAATAAGTCTACCCTGCTTGAAATTTATGGAAGAAATAATCTCGGCCGACTTCGAAGACGTCGGCCGCCCTAAGTATTGTTCATGGTACTTAGGGCGGCCGACGTCTTCGAAGTCAATCAGGAACACTGTACAGTTATATATATTATTATACAGTAGAACATCGCTTATCAAGTACCTCTCATAACGAGCATTTCGCATAACGAGTGACACGCATGGGGGAAGTCCCTTATTCTCACATAACATTAATGTGTTAGTGACGTTTTTATTTAGATATTCGGTTTTGTATAAGGTTTAATAGGTATTCATAATATCCCCGACAAATAAGCCATAAGAAACCAACTACAGTGTGTTAATTAATTATCGTACCCGACATCATTATTGCAAGTATGCAACCAATATCACAGTATTTTCATTGCAATACGTGATTTCCGTATGATGCGCATTGCGCTGTGATATTGGTTGCATACTTACAATTCTCAGTATATTAAATGCCTATGGGTCGAGATGA